AAGAAATTAATCTGAACAAACTATGGGAAATATTCCAGGAAGTTTTCCTCCATGATCTCTGCTTCAGTTGTACCTTGGATTCCTTGAATTTCCACTTAGCCCTGTAAGTTTAATGAAATAAAACTTTCCTCCTCAAGTTAATTTTGTTGCTGTGTTTATTATTCATGCTAACATAGGAACAAACTAATACCATGTAGTTGTTAACATGCAGAAGGAAGGAAAGGGGAAAGGCTTCGATGGAGTATGAGAAGGAAAAGGCAGGACGTGGGTATATACAAAACTGTCAAAGAACAAATTATCATAATGCAAGAAATCGGCAGTGCACATGATAATTTGTCAGGCTTGGATTTGCCCCAAATTTTAAAAAGTTGTAGTTTGAGACTTTGGGACTTATTGTTCATCTTTGCTCAAAAAATTAAGAGTACAAATAAGAATTTGGTGAAAATCAGCAGCCAAGAGAACATTCACCCTTTAACATACAATTGTGAGCTGTCATGTTGGAGCTGGGAATATGTCACTCTCTTTGGCATCCACCAGCACCGGGCACATAAGTCATATAAGGAAACATATGCAGCTAAAACATCCATATACATACAAACTAAAATAAAATTTACACATAAAATTAGATCCTTTCTAATCAACTAGCTCTTTTCTGATATTGATTCCTAGCTCATATTTGGTAATTAATTATTAATTATTCTGGAGCATTCCTGTTCAAAATTAATAGGTATGAATAGTCCCCAATGCTTACACTATAAAGATCACTATAAATCAACACTATTTTCATATTGCCTCTTCTGAACAATTTACTCCAATATTTTTCATGCTTTTTTAGTTATCAAATTTTATGAAACAAAACAGAAACTGCTCACATATTTGAAAGGCTTTAGTGAGAGTTGTTCTAAGAATGGAAACACAAAGAACTCAGTGACAATATTATCCACACAATGCCTCATAATGAAGTTTTGCTATTTGATCTTATCAAGAAAAGCTACATGTGAAAAGCTAGGTGTAAAGGTGACAATGAGTTTAATGTGGTCAGGGTTAATTGGCAAATAGCTAGGGGCGACTTTGGTTTTTATTCTTTGTTATTCCCCCCGTTTTTATTAAAAAAAAAAAAGTGCTGTTTGAGGCAATTTTATCATGTAGTCCAAGGTGGTCTGGAACTTGCTACATAGATCAGGCTGGCCTTGAACTTACAGAGATCCACCTGCCTCTGCCTCCTAAGTACTTGGATTAAATGTATATACCACCATCCCTGGTTGGCAGCACAGTTTTAACATAGCTAGCAAGACAATAGATGTAGCTCTCTTTGAAAAAAAAAAACCTGTGACATTAGGAACTTTTGGTATTATGGGGCAAGACTTAAAGGAATGAATCGTGTTTCCGCCAGTGTGTGGAGAGAGTAAATGGGTGCTGTTGACATGGGCGCAGACATCAGGGACCCCAATTCTTCAGCCTCACAAGAGTGTCAAAACCTCTACAGATTTGGACAAACCTGTTGAAAAGGCTTTTTCTGTTCTGAGTGTGAATCTTGACGGTGTGTGCAGAAAATGTCTACCATAGCTTTCTTTCTCCTGATGTTTGCAACCTGAAGATCAGCTAAACCTGCCTCTCTGCTCATCTATGTAACAACAAATCCTCCTTCCTCAAAAGGCCATGTCCTTCTTCTCATAAATGCTCGCGTTGATTTCTGACTGGAATCAGTGGAAAGAGCAGGCATATACGTGCTGTGTGCATGTATGTGAGCATGTGTTGAATGTATGTGTGCACGTATGTGTTCATATACGTGTGCATGTGTGCGTTCTTGTACGTGCACATCTGTGTGTGCATATAAGTCATATGTGTGTAAATGTGCGTGTGTGTAGCCTGAATGTGGGAAACATTGTTCTCTGTGTGCAAATTCGGGTTAGGAGAGTCACATGTTATAGCATTTAGGCCTCATGGCAATAATGGTGCGCCCACTCTTGCTGGTGAGTGACAGCGGCACAGATGTGGTAAATTCCCTCAGCTGAATCTGCGTCTTCAGCAAACAGTCTGGCCGGATCTGTATACAGATACATCTGGGAGTTAGGGCCCAGTGTCCACACCATGTCACACTGGCCAAGTGGCACCACACACTAGCTCTACCTTTCTAAATGAAAAAAACTACTTCTTCAGCAGTCTCCCCACCTCCCCACCCCAGGATTCAAGTGCAAAAGCAGACCCTGGGCAACGGGAGAAGCTCGGATCTGGCTTATTTGGGTATCATAAGAAACACAGAGGCCGGTGCTTCAGTGAGTTTATTTAAGGTGTCAGTTAGAAAATCTCTACTGGTTGACAGTGTAAGACCCCTTTACACAGGCTCTGACCTGCAAGTCAAACACAGAAGCAGATCCGCCACCAAAGCCTCCACAGGATGAAACTGATCCTCGTCAGCAGCTGAATCAGTGAGTTCTAAGGGTGCCAGGGGTTAGCCGAAAAAGGCTTCTTCAAACAAGCATGTTGTCACACCTGTTCAATTCATTTTGGAACTGGAATTCCAGAAAGAGTGTCTATATGAGCATGCTAATTCATAATTACTTATATCCTTTAAGCTTTTGTGCATTTTGGCCCATATACATTTCTTCTTCAATATGAATTTAACACCTCCATTCCTCTGAGGTAGTGTATGACAAAGGCATTAAAACAGAGGGAAAACAATTTAATTGCTTTTGTAGAGTCAAAGATTAGAATTGAATAAAAACGTCAGTGCAGTCGGATGTGATGGCGCACACCTTTATCCCCAGCACTCAGGAGGCAGAGGCGAGTGGATCTCTGTGAGTTTGAAGCCACCTGGTCTACAAAATGAGTCAAGACAGCTGGGGCTGTGCAGAGAGACTCTGTCTCAAAAACAAAATAAGCAAACAAACAAAATTGTAAAGGAATTTTAATCCAGCAACATGGCTGCTCTCATCACACCCAAATACCTTCTAGGTCTGAGATCTGTTTAGAGTACACACCTTTAACTCCTCTTTCTGGAATATAGACATCACCTAGTACACACCTTTAATCTCAAACAGTACCCTTTAATTGAGGGACAGAAAGTGCTGAATCAGAGAAAGATTTGACTGAATAGGACATGCCCAACTCTCCGGAGAACAGCAAAGGAAAGAGAGGCTATTTTAAGAGAACTTTGGGAGAGGCAGTAAGTTCAGAGAGTGGGTTCATCCAGTCAGTTGGAAGTCAGCATAGAGTCAGTTCAGTAAAGCTGAGTTCAATCAAGTTCAATTGAAGTCATTTAAGAGTTTTTGCAGTTCAGTGCAGATCAGAGGAGGCAGTTTTATGGGACCTTTTTACAGAGACAGGTTGTAAAGAGAACAAGCTAGACACAGGTAAAGGCAGATGGGCTAGAGAATGAGAAGGAGGGAGAAAATTAGAACAGATTGCTAGACTTAGTTTGAGGCCAAGCAGAGCAATTCAGTCAGAAGTGAAAGAAGCCAGTTTGAATCAGTCAGTTTGGAGAGGCGTTTGAGCCAGAACAGCTGAGTTGAACCAGCCATACAGAGTTTAGAAAGAGCTGGAAAGGATGAGCTTATTCCTCCAGTAAGCCTCCAAGATGACAAATACATCTGGCTAATAAAAGTTACTTTTATAACAAACAATTAAAAAAAAAGAAAAGTGGTAACTATAATTCAAAGGTAATAGAATTAAGCTTATCCAAGAATGTGTTTATTGTGAATAACTATGTATAATTAGTAATACAATGTTTAGCAACTATCCTTAGGATCAGAATATATACCATCCTAAGTCAAGCTATTAATATTATTCTTCCTTGCCATGGTTATCTGTTTAATCAAAGCTCTAGCACAGCTGACTTAAGCAAGCTGCCTGCCTCTGAAGAGCAAACTGTAAGTATGATTCCAACTAACAGCATGTGGTTTGAAAAAAGAATACACTTTGGGTTTGCTTGTTTGCTTGTTTGGGTTTGTTTGTTGGATAATGAATTGTGGGACTGACGATTAGGTTTCCTTGCTTATGTGGGATCTACAGAACAGGCATTGTGCTTGTCTCTCATCTCTGCAAGTTGCCCTTTGAAATATTGCTTTGCTTCGCACAGAATCATAGGAAATCCAAGGCTTGCACAGGATTTTTAGCACATAGTGTCAAGAGGAGAACCTGAGGATCCTGCTCAGACTAAAGTCATTGGTAAACACCAGCAGACATAATTCCCAGCGCTCTGCAACAGTACTTGTGAAATGGAAGTTTTACACAGACGCTTGCAGCTTCCCATCTGAGATTTTAAATGTATAAGTGCATCAAAATAAGTTCTTTTTGATCCTTGGGCACATTTTAAATGCATTTTTAAAATCTCTTCCCGGAGGAGCTAGTACACAATTCAGTTAGCTCTCCATGATATTTAGTCAGTGATGACCAATATTTTCCAAAATGTCTAACATTGTCTTTCAGTTTCATAATGCCATTTCATTATCTGCAATAGACACTCTTTAACCCCTCCATTAAAGTATGGATTAGAAGGGATCTACAGTTCAACCACTTATAACGGTTGTTGAAACTCAGGTTCTATGTCCGAGCTGTCTAGAATATCTGCATTTGCTTCACACATCTAGAAACATTCAAGAAAACGCCACAATAAAAATTTTGGTAAATCCTTCTTCTCTCCTTGTCAGTCTCTTCTTTTTACACCCTCTGTGCACACAAACACACACATTCATGCACATTCACGCTTACACACACATGCGGACATTTCCATTTGCTGTTAAAATTTACAAAATCATTTTTCCATAAACTTTTCAGCATTTGAGAACTTTAGATACATAAATCACCTCGAGATACATTTCATTGTGACAGTGCTTTTAACTGTATTTCTAAGAGCCAATCATGATTGAAAGACCTTTGACAGATTAGTAGGATGCTATATAATTTTATGCCTTCATAACTAACAAGATTATGGTTTTAGCAATTCATCAAGCCTGTACTTGCATCGGAAAAATGATAGTATTAGAAATAAGTAAACTCACCACTTCTTCATGTCTGCATTTCCTCACATTAATTCCATTTATCTGCAATGAAAGGAAATACTCAGTTTCCCATAGTATATTGTGAAGTGGCCTTTGTTTGCAACCACATAGATGACAATGAAATGTATACCTGGAGAATTGCATCGCCAATGAAAAGCAGTCCTGACAGCTCCGCTGTGAATGAGAACAGTAGAACACACCTTGGCATTTGTCAAACGTAAAGATTTTTGTTTAATTAATGATAAAACTATAAACAAATTATAAATATTTCATATGGGTAGCATTTTACAGGAGTGTAAACTCAAATCAATTATATGATTCAGCTCTTTTCAATTACTGATATAGGCAGACATTTCCTTTTGGTTCTAGCATTTCTGATCTTACAGTCCTTAAAACACAGTCACCCCTTGCAACTTTGTGTCCTTCTTTTTTCTTTTTCTTTTCCTACAAGGTCAATTTATGCTGCCCAAATATTCTTGGATGTGTGGCTTTCCCCTGTCATGGGTCAGCTTCTCATTGTGAAGAATGATTGGATCTGGGAAAAGTTGGAGGAAGGAGTATGAATATGGTCAAAACATGTTGTACTCGATTCTCAAAGATACACACACATACACACATATATATAAGTGCATACATATGTATGTGTGTGTGTGTATATAGGCACATTTCTTAAAATTGATGATTCTTCTTAATGGCGACCAGTTCGCTTTAGGCATTTATAATATCTGTGTGCAAATACTTGAGCTGTAGATTTTCAATCTGTCAGTTCCACGCTTATTGGAAATACTGTGTTGCTTCCCTGATAATTGTCAATGAAAACATGATTTGTATATTCATCATGTTTTGTAGATGGCCTCACAGGAAGTGACTAAAATCGAGAAGAACGATTGTATCTGGATTAATCTGTGAAATGTGACTTGTTTTTTGTGTCTTTATTGAACAGTTCAGAAGTTGCGCTGTTCTCAATTCATCATCTATGTTCATTTGGACTGTTAGAGTCCATCACTTTTCCCTTTCTGTCCTGTAGGGGGATTCCGGAGATCTGGAGAATCAGATTTAGCTTCTCCCTGCCTGAGCAGGAAATTCAGGGAAGCCACTCACATACCAATCATGAATCTCCTCTCATCTATAGGGTTAGATAAGCACATTACCTCTTTGCTCCTTGGAGATTTTGGAAATGACAACTGGAATGTTATGTTCTGCACCTCCCTAGAAAAAGAACATCATATATCATACTTTTTAACCCTCAATTGTCACCTTTTAGCTATAAATAGTGCATTAAGTGAACAACAAGCGGATTTTAAATAAATTTGTAGAATGTCTTTTAAGTAGGTAGTATTTCCATGAAGCGTGACTATTTAGAAGTTTTGTGATGACATTTACTAATTAATACCAGTTGACTATAAAAATTTTATTTCTCAAATAAGATTGATAACATCAGTAGTGGTGTTCTCTTCAAAGTCCATTATGGGAATGCAAGACATCTTGACAGTTGTTACTTAGAATTCCAAGCGTCTGATATTTATACATTTCAGTTCTCTGACTAATTTATTCCATTCTGCCAAGCAGGCACTCTTTCAGGCATACGTTCTGAATGCTAAATAGGCAGGAAGACTCGTTACCAGCACAAGTGGATAAACAAATTCTAAGCACGACTGGAACAGAACCATCTGTATTTCCTAGTTAGTATTAGACTCCCCAGAGTGAAAGCATAGGATAACCAATTCTCAGCATAAAACGCAACACCAAGAATCCTCCAGCAGCACTTGGTGACAGGCTCAAATATGGAAGTAAGAAAGTACAGTAAGGAATCACAGTTTTGATAAAGGAAACTAAAAGAAATTCTTAGGATAACTGCTAGAGAATCCTGTTTCACCATTGAGCTGTAAGAAGTTTGATTGGAGTAGTCAAAAACCAAGTCCACGTATGAATGAGTGAAGCATTGTGTGAAGAAATGCACACATTCAGTGAGGAGGCCGTCCAAAGGCGTGGGCGCTGCTCTTCATTTAGAATAAATAACTCCCTAAGCTGCCATCAGCTTAAATACGGCATTTTAGAACATGTTCACGAATGAACATTCATTTCTACACTAAGTAGAATTAGATATGAGACAGAAAATCACTTTACAAAAAAGCATTAATATTCAACTTAATTTTAAAACTTTTATACATTTTGTTTTTACTACTGAGAAACTAAAAATAAGACAATAGGACTATAATCCTATTTAAGTTGATCTTCAAAGCCACTGATTAGCTCATTCTTTTAAAATCTAACATTTCCTACCAACCAGCCCTATGTCCATCTACCCCTGCCTCTAGCAAATAGAGAAAGAGACAGTGTTATACATTGACACCGTGCTAGCCCAGGACCCTACTTAATGTGCATGTGTAAACTGTCAATCCTGTCTAAGGTGCATCAGTGACTAAGTGTTGGAGAAGATCCTGACAGTGGAGCGTTCTCAGCATTGTTGCCTATTGAACTTTAAACATTGACTGCAAATGGTTGGCTGAAGAGATACCTGCACGTGCCATTCACAGTGGGGACCACTGCAGCAAGGTCTGAGGATTCATCCAGACCTTGCACCGTGGGGTCCGCAGCAGGGAGGACTGGGAGTCCTCTGCACACAGCATGCCCTGGGGACTCTGGCACGGAGGTCTGATGGGTAATTTGTACACACAGTACACTGTGGCCTCCACGGCAGCTTTCTGCCTCTCTTAGTTAAGACATTAAGTTTCCTTTGGCAGGTCTCGCTATGCGTCCAGTGTGTGCCAGTGTTGATTATAACTGATGTAAGCAAGGAAAAGTGTTTCCATGTCCTAATTTACATAACCTGTACTTTATTCTCCATGTGTCTCTTGCCTGAGTTGATGATGAGTAACTACAAAGAATATTTTATTACTACTATTTTGAATACTGAGATTCTTATCACTACACACTGTCACTGTATTAAGTTATTTTGACGGTTCTCTAGAAATGATAGTCACAAATTCAAAATATCCCTATCCTGACACAAATAACAGGTGCTGTGTAAAATATCTTTAAATATGCACCACAGGTAACATAATAAGTGAGTAAATGTGAACTGAAGAATTGTGATTAACGACTTTCATTTAGGTGTTTATCTAGTTAGGTTGATTAAAAAAATTAAGGTTGTTGGGTTAAGTCTTAAGTATTCACATACAGTCCAATTTTCTCAATCATTTGAATAATGATAAACTACATGGGTGACACCCCTTTACCATGCAACACTGGAAAGATTAAAAATCTCTTAAATATTCAAAACTTGAAATTAATAAGTTAAATTTATCAGTCTCTTTAGCAAAGTGAAAATCAAGCAAAAGGATATACTTGAGCCCATGCTTCACTTATTTTCAGTTCCCTCCATGTGAGACTTGATCTCACTCTATCCAGCAATTTCTAGGCTGCTGGAGGAGAAGGAAGAGCTCCTTGCCACCAGCATATTTTACATTTTATGGGAAGCCACATTAAAGCAAACTATCAAGTTTTACTTAACACTAGGTATGGTCCCCGGTCCTTTCTTGTAATGTCTAAACCAAAAGATAATGGATAGTCAGGTTTTGTAAGAATAGGAATCCCAGTATTACAGCCCACTCTAAACATCACAAAGCCATTTTGTCTAGTCATAAGTCACTAACATTGAAGTACACAAAAATTAGCTTTTACAGGTCAGCCTTTGCAAAGACAGACTGGAAAGGTGACTACCTTTATGCTTAATCCAAATCCTCCTACTGTCTGTCTTCTGATGGTCACCGTTCTTTCCTGAAAAACATGATATTTAGGAGTGGTCAGTGTTTCTTCACACTAATACCATTTAATTGTTTGTTCCTATAGTTTTTGCAATTGCTGCTAAACATTTGGAGAAAAATATCTCAGCAAAGGAGACGTCAACTATTGCAATTAATGGAAAAATTTACAGTTTTAAATCAAAGGTCAATAATTTATTTGCCGACATAAATGTTATTTAATTAACAATCTCTGAAATATCTAAATCTTCTCAATGATATTTTGGGAACAATTTTAGAAGGTTATACTCTCATTTCCATATTGTACATTCTTAGATAGCCTAACTGTATCTCACTATCAGCAATATGCCTCCCTCATCCGCAGCCTTTTTGGCGACACCAAGTCAAATCTATATTCGTGGTCTAAGAACTAAGCTGTGGGGCCTCCATAGCCCAGCCCTTGAGAATGCCATGTGATATCTGCGGGCGACATGTTGAGGAAACTGTATTCACATCCTTTACGTGTCTGGAAAAAGAACTTACGCAATAATTACAACAGTGTGATGGCTAATGTCCACTGCTATTTCCCCACAGTAGAAGCAAGAACTCAGCTATAGACCTAGCAGTCCAGGGACCATGGCATGAGCCCACAGAACGTGTTTGGATGTATCCTAAAATTGTTTTCTGTTTGAAGGAAATAGATTCTGCATTACACATATTTGTGAAGAAAGTCAAAGGGTGGGAAGTTGTATCTATACCCTCTGTCACTTACACAATCCATTTCCTAGCTGTCTGTGTTGTCCCCTATATGTAGAAGAGAATGTCTATGACATTGTGCCGGTAGCACTCCAATTTCCAGTTTATTTAGCTGTCATCTCATTTTCCAAAGGAGAATATGGCTCTGTTAATTCTACAGGAATCTTTTCCCCCTTCCTATAAGAACTCTATAAATGAGAAAAAATATTTTACAACAAGTAACAGAATATTTAAGAATATGTATTTTCAGTCACTTTTACTATTCCTTAAAGGTCAGGATAATTGCTGAGTAGTATTCCATTGTGTAAATTAAGAAAAGAAAATCATGAAATTTTTCTAGTGGGAACTAGAAAAGATCATCCTGAGTGAGGTATCCCAGAAGCAGAAAGACACACATTGTATATACTCACTTATAAGTGGATATTAGACACATAATATAGGATAAATATACTAAAATCTGTACACTTAAAGAAGCTAAGCAAGAAGGAGGACCCTGGGTAAGATGCTCAAACCTCATTCAGAAAGACAAATGGGATAGATATCAGAAGAGAGCAAAAATAGGGAACAGGACAAGAGCCTACCACACAGGCCTTCTGGAAGATTCTACACAGCAGGGTATTGAAGCTCATAACCAAACTTTGGGCAGGGAATCTTATGAAAGAAGGGGGAAAGAGAAAGACCTGGAGGGGACAGGAGCTCCACAAGGAGAGCAACAGAACCAAAAAATCTGGGCCCATGGGTTTTTTCTGAGACTGATACTCCAACCAAGCACCTGGCAAGGAGATAACCTAGAGCCCCTGCTCAGATGTAACCCATGGAAGCTCAGTGTCCAAGTGGGTTTCCTAGTAATGGAACAGGGCCATCAACTCTGTGGATGGCTCTTTGATCACTTACCCTGGTGGGGCAGCCTTACCAGGCCATATAGGAAAACTATGAAAGACAGTCCTGATGAGACCTGTCAGACTAGGGTCAGATGGAAGGGGAAGTCTACCTCCCTTAACAGTGGACTGGAGAAGGGGCATGGGAGGAGATGAGGGAGAGAGGTTGGGATTGGGAGGGAATGAGGGAGGGGGCTACAACTGGGATACAAAGTGAATAAATTGTAATAAATAAAAAATATTTTAAAAAGGTCAGGATAAAAACTCATCACTTTAGCCAAATTCTCAAATTCTTTTCACTTTGTACTCAAATACAGCTTTTCACAAATAAAAAATAATGGCTTAAGAACAAAACCATTACACTATAAATGAAAAATTATTAACTTTTATTTTGTTAATTTTGAAATACAAATACTTTAATGAAGATTACTACTTCAATACTTTAATGAAGATTAAAATAATAAGGGCAAATAAATAGGATTGTGTAATATAAATTTTTTCTATGTTAAGCAATTTCATCCACTTAAAAATATTCATTTGAGCTAGGTGCAGTGGCACACATCTATATTCCAAGCACTCTTGGAGGCAGAGGTAGGCAGATCTCTATGAATTCAAGGCTACCTAGTCTTCAAAGTGAGTCTAGGACAGCCCAGGCTACACAGAGAAACCCTCTTTCAAAAAAAACCACACACCCCAACCCCCCCCCCAGCAAAACAAAACAAAAAAAAATTTATTTCAGTCTCATAACTTGTCTTTAGGTCATGTTTTCAAATATCTAAATATAAGTTATGTAAACATGTATATGTGTATCACAGGTAAATGAACTAGAAATATAAAACGTACTATACTATTTATTTTAATAACATTATAAACTCTTGCATATAAATAAGCTTACTGCTATAGTCTTTGTCATCACAATTATTAGAGCATGCAGTGTCATATAATATACCTTGGAAATTCCTTTAACATGACAATACATACCAATAAAATTGAGTTGAACACATCATTATATATTCAAAATGTAATTAAAATAAACTAAATATTTATTTAAAATTCTTCTTGAATAATTCAATATCAGTCTGTTAAAATCAATTAATATTTCATTGTTTCTAATTAAAGGCTTCATTGGAGAGGAAGAACATTGAAAACAAGGTTGATAATGAATTTAGAGACTGTGTTCATGGCTCCAGTAGCCATGATTCCATGTTTAGCAAATTATTTAAGCCTATGAGTCACCATTTCCAAATGTGCACATAGGTCGTTAGTTGGTAATACGCAAGAACAATTTTGCTAAGGACTATCTCTGATATAAACTCAGTGCCTGCCTCTTTGATCACCTCCCCTCACCAGGGGGTATGCAGCCTTGCCAGGCCACAGAGGAAGATGATGCAGCCAGTCCTGAAGAGACCTGATAGGCTAGAGTTAGATAGTAGGAGAGCAGGACCTCCCCCATCAGTGGACACTAAGGAGAGGCATAGGGGTAGTAGAGGGTGGGTAGGTGGGACTGGGGGGAGATGAGGGAGGGTGCTGCAACAGGGATACAAAGTGAATAAACTGTAAAAAATAAAAGAACAAATAAATAAGATAAAATTTAGAAAAAAAGAATTAAAATTTAGAAATGATGTGGTAGAGATGGAAACTTGATGGTTATCAAAACATACATATAACTCTGAAAAGGAAATCTTTTTTAATTTTTATTTTTTAATATTAATTACAATTTATCCACTTTGTATCCCAGCTGTATCCCACTCCCTCATTCTATCCCAATCCTACCCACCCTCCCTCATCTCCTCCCTGTCCTTCTCTAAGTTCACTGATATGGTGGTCCTCCTCCCCTTCCATCTGACCCTAGTTTATCAGGTCTCATCAGGGCTAGCTGCATTGTCTTCCTCTGTGGCCTAGAACAGCTGTTCCTGCTCGGGGGTGGGCGGAGGTCAAAGAGCCAGGCACTGAGTTCATGTCAGAGACAGTCCCTGTTCCCCTTACTAGGGAAACCCACTCAGATACTGAGCTGCCATGGGTTAAGTCTGAGCAGGGGTTCTACGTTATATCCATTCATGGTCCTTGGTTGGAGAGTAAACTTGTACAAACACTTTGGAAGCCAATCTGGCACTTTCTCAGACATTTAGGAATAGAGCTCCCTCAAGATCCAGCTATACCACTCCTAGGCATATACCTGAAAGACGCTCAAGTACACAATAAGGACATTTGTTCAACCATGTTCTTAGCAGCTTTATTTGTAATAGCCAGAAGCTGGAAACAATCCAGATGCCCCACAGTTGAGGAATGAATACAGAAATTGTGGTACATTTACACAATGGAATACTACTCAGGAATTTAAAACAAGGAAATGATGAAATTTGCAGGCAAATGGTGGGAAATAGAAAAGATCATCCTGAGTTGAGGTATCCCAGAAGCACAAATGTACACATGGTATATACTTACTTATAAGTGGAAACTAGACCTAAAAGATGGGATAAACATAATAAAATATGTATATCTAAAGAAACTAAACAAGGAGGACCCTGGGTAAGATAATCAATCCTCACTTAGAAAGACAAATGGGATGGACATTGGAAGTAGGAGAAAACAAGAAACAGGGCAGGAGCCTACCATAAAGGGCCCCTGAAAGACTCTACCTAGCAGTGTATCAAAGCATATGCTGAGACTCATAACCAAACCTTGGGCAGAGTTCAGAAAATTATGAAAGAATGGGGAGTTAGTAAGAGCTGGAGAGGATAGGAGCTCCACAAGGAGCAAATATATCTGGGCACAGGAAATCTTATAATTGACAGTAAATATTAAACTAATAATTATACATTTTTACATTTAACTTCACACATAAAGAGTTCAACCATTACAGACCTGAGATAGTGATCAGTAATTTATAATATTTGTTCATCCAAGGCAGGTAGACAAATTGTTATTGAAAAACCAGCCATGAAACAAACTGAAGATCTTGAAGTTAGGAATAACTTGCTTAACTCATTTCAGAAAAAATTAAGTACGTGATTTCTCCCAAGTTACTGGGAAAAATCAGTGGGCTGAGAAGTTCAGACAATGGTTATTAGCTATCTTAAAATTAAAATTCCCACCAGGGAAAATGTGTTTAAATAATTAAACGAATCACCTAATTTTCGCAGACTTGAAACATAGCACAGGGTCATTTATGCAGTGACCTTTGCTCCTTTCATACGAACATGGAGCAAATGGGGGTTGTTCTAATGCTGACCCTCAAGATCTAGGCACACCTACTCTCATTTGGTAAACCTGCCTAAGTCACTATATCTGAGTGGTTCATTAAACAGCCTAAACCTGGCAGGGCATAATGGGGTAGACATGGTTAAGGTTTTAGGGCTTCAGAGGGAATCATGGGAAACAGACAAATGGGAAGAGAGGTGGA